TAATTTTAATACTAATTAAATACTTTAAAAATAAGTATAAAATAAGTAATTAATTTTAATACTAATTAAATTCTTAAAAAACAAATATTAAATAAGTAATTAATTTTAATAATTAGAAACTATACAATTAATATAAAATAATTAATTAAGTTTAATATTTATTACATATTATAATAATTAATATTAAGTAATTGATTTTAATATTTATTAATCACTATAATAGCTTAAATCTTTTTTATTTAAAATAATATTTAATTTTTTTACTCATTTTTGCTATAACACAAATTTTACTAATAAACTTGCTTCAGATATACTAATGAAAAATGATTTTATAATTAATAATTTTATATTATATTAAAAAAAATAAATAATTTATTCAATTTTTTAAAATATAACCAAGTACTTATTAAGTACTTATTAAAAATACTTATTAAATACTTATTAAACATTTACCAAGTACTTATTAAACAAGTTTTAACATATCTTATTTCTAGTGAGTACTTGCAACCAAGTACTTAGCAAGTACTTGGCTATACTTTGTAATGATCAGAAAATATAACACTTAACTACAGAATCAAAAATTTTATGAGTAAACAATTACAAACTGTTGCCAACTTTCACTCTAGGTGATATCACCTGGTTGCATAAAAACCAATCATATCACCAGATATTCTCTATAAAAATTTCAACAAAGATTCCAATTAAGTTCTGGATATCTGATCTTATTCTAAACTGAAATTTGCATAATTTTATTAAAAATTTCAATGCTAATATTACTTCATAAATGTTCAATTTGAAAAAATTCTGGGTTAAAAAGTATTAGCTATTGAATATACTTTTACAAAAAACAATTAAAAATGTATCCAAGTTTTGCCCAGCTTACTATTCTATTCCAAGCAGAAAATTAGAGTTATAAATCAAATTTTTTAGTGTTAATTAAAAACTTTACAGAAACCTGTATTTTTGCCAAATAAATTTATTATATAATAAAAATATAGTAAAAATATCGTAAAAACATAGTAAAAATACCTTATAATGTATTAAATTAATATTTAAAATCTATTTAAAATATCATAACTATATAATATTTACAATAAAAATATTTTTTAATAAATATTAAATATTATATAAATATAATATAAATTTTATATAGTTTTTTAAAAATAATATTTTAAAGATATTTGGCAAAAATACAGGTTTCTGTAAAGAAGCAGTAAATACAAGGTTTATTCTATTTATTTAAGATTTTACTTTATTATAATATGTCACAAAATGAAGCTTTAAAATATTTTAAGCCTCATCTAAATGTAATATAATTTTTTCTATCTATTATAATATACTTATTTACTTCAATTTTAAGAAATTCCATGCAATAGTCGATAGTAGTTACATTAATAAACCCAGTTTCATCAAAGTTTCAAAAATATAGTATATTATTTCTATAACTTTTGGGCTTCCTACCCACTGCACTAAGCATGGATATTTTATCTTCATATTTATACATAAAATAAAATAAAACTTGTTCATAAAATACTTATTCTTCAAGTTAATGGCACTAACAATAATGTATTGATCAGATTACAGATATCAAACAGCATTTTCAGCAATTCGGAATCATGATGTATACTATTTTGTGCATTACAAGCAGTGCTAGAAATCATATGTTCACGGTATGTATTCATTGTGGACATAATTTTAAAAAATCACAATTTTTTTTTTTTTTGTTCACATTTGTGAGCATAAATAATTTATATTTAATTAATAAAATTTTATTTGTTTTCAATATTAACATGATTACAAAAATTGCTATATTGTTCTTTGAATCTCCAACACTAATAACATGCATTCAACTATTTTATTTTTTATGATGATTTAGATTTCTTAAAAGATTGTTGTAGCCAACGTTATGAAGTTAAGTTAATCTATAAATCAAATTATAGTTTATTTCAAAATTAATTTACAAGATTCAGAAACTCTGTATTTATTACAATATAGATAAATGTGGTAATTCTGCAAAAGTAATGTAGTATTGCTATAATATAATGCGAAACAATTCACACTAGTCATAAATCTAAATCATCAAAAGTGTTTATTTAAATAATTTTGTGACTCTGTACGATGCAATTTTGAAGATATGTCATGTTATAAGTGTAAAAAATAGAATACACTATAAGTAACAATTTGATATGATAAATAATCTAAAGAATAGAATAAATTGATAATAGTACAATACTATAATAAATTATTTCATCAAATAATGATAATGGAACAAAAATTTTCAAATCTAGTGTTATAGATTAAAAGCTATATCTGACGAATTGTATATATTTTCTTTTATTTTTTTTATTTTATTTTACTTTATTTATTATTATGTATATCGTGTCGTCACGCGCCAATTTCATTTTGATAACAATGCCCAATATAGTATAGGCATTATATTATTTATATAAGATATATTAGTTATTTCAATTAGGGAATTGCATGAGGCTGAGGAGGCATAGTTCTATCTAATTTCCATGTTGACACTAAATTTTTAATGCAGACGCTAAATTTTTAGCGTTGATGTCAAAATATCAAAATATTAATGTAGATGTCAAAATAATAGCATAGACGTTAAATTTTCGGCGTAGACGCTAAAAAATTAAAAATGTATAAAAAGGCTTAAGTAATAATAAAGAAGGACAAGTTCCACATCCATTTTTGTTTAAAAATAGATATTTATCCCTTTGAAATTCGACTTGAACTTTAATAAATCTTATCGTAACTCAATTCGACAGACTGAATTGACTGATAACCTCGATTCGGCATATTAAGACTTGAATTTTTTTGTATAACGGCCCTTTGTAAATCTTTGAAACTTGGTCACGTGATACCATTTGAAAGTTCTTTCGTGCAAGAATAAGATTAATTAGTAAAGTGAAAATTGGGAAGCCACGCCACCTTTAGCATCACTAGCATTAGCTGATTTTAAAATATCAGAGTTAGAATAGCGATAGCATATCACTTTAATATCAATATCTGCTAATATCATTTATTTGATCATTTTAATTTCTTAAGCTATTTTAAGATCGATTCATTATAATCTAAATTTAACCCAACGATATAATATCATTATCAATCAATCATATCTTTCTCTTTTCTTAATATTATTCCTGAATTATTTTAATTCATAGTTCTTTCTTTATTTCATGTATACATTTTTAGTTATTATCATATTATAAATTATACTAAGTTCGCTTACGATCCGAAGATTGATTAGTTAAAGGCAAATTCATATTTCTTTTATTTATATAAACCCCAATTTCTGTATACGTTTGGAGTTCAAATTGGCACTATTTGTTTATAACTGCTCTGCTCTCCCAATACAACTATTACATTTGGTGCTAGTTGTGTGGAAGAATAAAACAATACACCTTAAATTAAATAGCTATTAGTCAAAAGTTAACGATCTTATATAACAAAATTCAAAATTATATAACTTATCTAAAATACAATAATGGCTCAACGTCCACCAGTAAATCCAGGCTGACCCGCTTTAGGTAATCTGGGTCAACTACCGAATCCTGCGCTGCAGCCAAATCCTGGGTAGCAGGTTAACCTGCCTCAGCCACCACAGCCACCGCAGCAGCCTCAACCGCCTCAACAGCCAAATCCAGGACAGCCGCCACAGCAACCTAACGCTATCGATAACTTAGTGGCTCAAATTGAATTATTAATCTAACAGATGCAGGTTGCTTCTGCCCGCAAGTTAACTACAATGCCCTGAACCAGGAACTGAATTTAGTAGCCTATCCCGATTTCACTGGAGGAGATCAAGACCCCGTATCTTGGTTAGATGAGGTAAAAAAAGCTTTTGCCCTAATTTGGTTAGCAATGACCATCGGCTCCTGGTCAAAGTTCTGCATCTTAAGAGACCCACAGCCACATAGTAGGCAACTACACAACAACCGCCCAACCCCATTAACACCTGGAATGACCGGCTTAGCCCAATATTAGTTTTCGGCTACACTTTATACTCCAATTTCACACTCCTGCACTGGAAGAAAAATGGTTTGCCCAACTAGCTTCTCAGAAGCAGCAAGTTGGTGAGGATATAGACACTTACTATACAGCAATGCAAGAGTTGCTTCAATAAGGCTAAAGCCTAACTTTTCCTTAACGAGTTATGACCCGATATCATATTAGCTATTGCTCTATTCATCCCAAACATGCTACAAGCAGCCTATGACTGTGCCAAAGCATATAAAAGCACTTGTAAGCAAAATTTACCATTTTTCCCACACCTATTAGCACTTTGTATTCTTCTCAGTACTTCTTGAATGTCTCGGCCGGATTTTCTACCACCATTGCAACTTCTGAATCTGCAATTGAAAAATTAACAGAAGCCATTAATAAGATGATGACCCAAATTCAAGAACGATGACCGCCTCCTTCAAATAACTCCCCAAGAATAGTCTGTTTTAAGTGTAGACGTCTAGGCCACATTAGCTGAAATTGTCGTAGTCTGGGTGTCCCTAATCCTCTGCCTAATTCTCTCCAAAACTATGTCTCCACGGTCAACAATACAACCCTGGGCAAATACCACCTTCTGCCGCCTACCCCTACCCTAATATAGTTGCTCCAAACTCCACAATGCCTCCAGGTACTAATGCTAACTCTAATACTACTACCACCAATGTAAACCCAAAAACAAGTAATATGACCAAAGGTCAGCGGCAAGAAGCTTATAGGCTTTGTTAGCCATGGCTGCTAATTTAACGTCAGTTAATCAACAAAGCAGTTCAGATAACCAAAATTTTCAAAACAATCAACCTACCTTCCTTAATATATCAGTTGAATATGTGCCGTTTTTCGCAGTAGGGTCACGAGAAAGTAAACAAGCAAGTGGCTTTCTGCACCGCTACAAATGCCTTCGTGAAAAAGACGGTAATTTGGAGTAGGGTTGCATCGGTCCTGAAAAAGACCAGTCTGGACCGGGACCGATAAGGACCATGAAACTGTTAAAGAACCGGTCCAGACCGGTCCCTATAAACATAACAGTGATCTTCATATCACCCAATCAAATTTCTTGATCAGGTGTAATATAGATCATATGATGTTTGTTTACATCTGATGATCTGTAATTACGTCATTTTCGACTAATAAAATCTCGTGCATTTAGAGATGACGTAATTATAGAAGGACCATTTTGGAACCGATAACTGGACCAAACCAGACCGTAAATCACTATTTAATCGGTCCATTAGGGACCGGACCGGACCGGACCGATGCATCCCTAATTTGGAGTCAAGAGTGGAAGAGCCCCTAGAAGTATTGTTGGAAAAAGAAAAAGATAATAAATTAAAAGAAAAAGAACATTTAAATAAGGGAAAAATTAGTTCTGTAAAAGCTATTCCTGTTAAGTCTAAACATGTACCTACGGTAAGAAGAAAAGTTCCAGAGGATGAATTACTCCAAATCTCTTCGTTGGTTCTGGCATATTTCATTATAACCGATTTGTGAGACAAAGCAGCTAACATTATGATCAGCCAACTTCTTCATGTTAACCCTGCTATGCACACTAAACTCATTCAAAGCCTACATAAAAAAAAGATCTCTAGTAAAAGAAAAGTAAAGGCTAATATTAATATCACGCCTAACAGTAAATCGACCGCCTTGTATTGTGATGCCACTATCCTTGGAGTAGAAGTGCCTTTAATAGTAGATAGTGGGTCTTCCGGTAGTGTAGTCTCTTCCCACTTGTTACACAACCTCAGTATTAAGGTTAAACGACCCTCCACCATCAACATAGTAAATGTTCATGGGGAGAGTAAGCAGGCTCTTAGAGAAATTTCTAATTTCCCCTTTACTGTTGCTGGTATCAAAATACCCATCAACCTTGTCGTTACCGATGCCAATTTCTATAATGCTATCGTTAACAATGATTGGCTATCTAAAATTAACTCTAAGATTGATTGGACAACCTCAGAGATGACTTTTGCGTGGAAAGATAAGGAAATAGTAGTTCCAGTAGAATTTAAAAGACTGACCCCAGAGCTGTTAAGTAGAAACCATCCTACTAAAATTCAAGACCTAAATGAAGAAGAAGGTAAAACTGAGTGTGAATCAAGTGCTGACGATGAATATGAAGAAGAGGAATTGGAGGATTGTATATACAATTATTCTGGTATTGAAGGAGAAACTTACTTTTCCGATTCATGGGAGACCTCTAAGTCCTCTACCAATGAAGAAATAAACTCTTCTAATGAACTAAGATATCATGCGACTTTAATAAACTTACCCAAAGATTGGTATCCTAGAGCTCTAAATAATTACATTAATGCTTCCTCTGGTTTTATACCTCTGTCTACCTCTACAATCTCAAGTTCATCCGAGTCTTCAGAAGATCTAGTTTTAAATTGAAACACTTTTTCGTCTACATCTACTATTCTAGGTACTTTTGAGTCTTCGGATGACTCAATGTTAGCTGTTAATACTCCTAACCTTATTACCTTTAATTTATCTGACATTTTAAGTACTTCAGGTTCACGTGCTGATTCACTGGTCTCTATTCCTTTTGTCTCTTCTTTTCCTAAAAGAAATAATACTTATAGTAATCTAAATAATATTCAATCTTCTTCAACGACATCACTAGAGAGTAGGAACAATATTAACTTAATCAAACCTTTTCTTCCGGTGCATAATTCTCTTAGCATAGCAAATCTTAATACCAGTAATAGATTAATATCACCTTTTATAAGCAGCCCCGATGGTGTTCCTCCGGTAATTTTTCTTGAAAGTAATTCAGATGAGTCAAACAATTCAAATTTTGACTGGTACGAATCTAGATAGAAGAATAAAGCTGAAGAATATAAGTTTGGTGAGAATTATTCCAATAAGGATGATAGATAGATGAAATGAGAAGGCAATTGAAACTTAATAAAGAGAAGCGAAAACCTTTAACTGTGACCTGTCAATATGATTTAGTAGGAAATGCTTATTTAACAGAAGAAGGAGCTGAAAGAGATTTATGGAGCTATTTGGTTACTGAACCTGTAGAGAAGGAAGAAGTTGAAGAAATTAGAGATGTCTTTGATTATTATTATGGGGAAGATTTAAAGAAAAGAAATACCTATCAAATTGGGAACCTTAATACAGTTCAAGACAGTCAACTTTAGCAGTTTCTTAACCAAAATTCTAAGCTATTTGTGTGGGAAGGAGAACAATTAGGGCGCACTAATATTGTCCGGCATTATATTCAAACCGGTGATGCTTTGCCTATCAAAAAACACCTGTATCAATACTCTCAAGCGGAAAAGCAAGTTATTAAAGATGAGATTGGAATGATAATAAAAGAAGGAATTGTCTGTCCTTGTGAAAGTCCTTGGACATCTCCAGTGATGCTAGTATCTAAAAAAGATAGTCAAATGTGATTTTGTGTGAATTGCTGCAAGTTGAATTCAGTTACCCAAAAAGATAATTATCTCTTGCCTCGGATTCAGGATTTACTTGATGCCCTTATTGGTTCAGCCTGGTACAGCTCTCTCGACTTGGCTAGTGGTTACTGGCAAGTCGAAGTAGATGAAAAAGATAGGATAAAAACAGCCTTTACCACTCCTTTTAGAACTTACATGTTCAATGTTATGCCCTTCGAGCTAACAAACGCCCCTGCCACGCTTCAGCGGTTGATAGATTACTTGTTCTAGAATCTAATCAGAAAATGTGTAATCGTCTACCTAGACGACATAAACGTTTTTTCCAAGACCTTTGATGAACATTTGTATCACTTGAAACTAGTTTTTGACCGGCTTGAGTCAGCCGGCCTTAAATTAAACCCAGCTAAATGTTATCTCGGTCATGAAGAGTTGAATTTCCTAGGGCATATCATAAATAGAAAAGGCATAGCTACGGACCAAAAAAAAATAAAGGCAGTTAAAAACTTTCCAATTCCAAAGAACTTATGGCAGCTACACGACTTTTTGGGATTAATATCCTATTATTAGAAGTTTATCAAAAATTTTACAAATATAGCTGCTCCTCTTAATTATCTATTAAAGAAAAATGTCAATTATCAATGGACCACGGACCAACAATGGGCTTTTGAAGATTTAAAAGAAAAACTAATTACCACCCCAGTTCTAGCTTATCCTGACTTCGAGAAAACATTTATACTTTTTACTGACGTGTCTGATATGGTATTAGATGCTATTTTATCTCAAAGGAATGAAGATGAGCATGAGCAAGTAATCTCTTACACTAGTCGCAGCCTTACTTTGGCTGAAAAAAACTATACAGTAACGGAAAAAGAATGTATGGCCATAGTATAGGCCGTAGGATATTTTTGCCCTATCTCCACAGTAACCATTTCATCCTTTATACCAACCATTCTGCATTAAAATATCTCTTCGAACTTAAATTACCACAAAACCGCCTTGCCATATAGGTTATGACACTGATGGAATATTCGTTTACCACTGTACATAAGCCTGGCAAATTTCATACCAATGTCAACACCTTGTCTCGAATCCAATAAATTGCCACCAATAAAACATCTTAATTTTAAACAAAATTGTAAAAACAAATTTTTAGAACCCGATAAAAATAATTTTATAATAAATTTTATATACTTTTTTTTTCTAAATCCAATTAAATCCAGTTCAGGTTACGGTGTCCTGGCATACTTAACCAAATTTTACCCTTTAAATTTTCTTTATTTTAAGTTTAGCTATTTTAAAATTTTCATTAAATAAATAATAGAATTTAGTTAAACCCAAATTAGACCACGTTAGTGAGTATGGACCCAGATGAGTATTTCTTATATCTATGTTATCTTATAAGTGCTGAAGTTTTGTCCCAATTTGGATCTAAAGAAATTCAAAAGCTAAAATACAAGACTTGCTACTATGAGGCTATAGATGGGCTTTTATATAAGAAAAATTCAAGAGATTCAGCATGGCCCCTAAGAATAATAAAAAAAGATGAAGTTAAAATTATTCTTTTTAGCTTCCACGATAACCCACTTTCGGGATATTTAGAGTTTCATTCCACCTACCAAAGAATCGCCGCCCGGTATTATTGGCCGCAGATGGGCGAAGATATAAAAAACTATATCTGTACCTGTGAGGTATGTCAAAAGAAAAAAAGACCTAACACCTGTGAGTCCTTATATCCTATTAAGATAGGGAAGCCCTTTTATAGAATAGGAATTGATATCATAGGGCCTCTTCCTGTAACCTCTAAAAATAATTGATACATTGTTGTCACCACAGAATATCTCACGAAGTAGCCAGAAGTATGTGTCTTCGAAAAGACTAATGCTAAAAGTGTCGCTGCTTTCATTCTAGAAGACATAATTTTCTGACATGGAAGTCCTAAAGAAATCCTGTCAGATCAAGGCACACATTTTTGTAATATCTTGGTACAGGCTCTAGTTGAAGGTTTTAACCGAACACTTTGTGGAATTTTAAACAAGTGTGTGAATCAATATGACGAAGAATAGAATGAATATATTAATTCAGCTCTCTTTGCTTATCAAACTACCACCCATAGTATTACAGGGTATGAACCATTTTTTTTATTATATGGCCAAAACCCTGTTCTTCCTATTGAAACGAGCATTACAACTCACCAAACGAGGCCAGAAACTGAAGAAGAATTACTAGATCAGATCTACTGGAGGGTAGAGAAATTGATAGAAAAAGTCGTAGAAGCCCAACAATTAGCTGCTAAAAAAATTAGAAGTTCACAAGAAAAGCAAAAGATACATTTATGATAAGAGAAAGAAAGTTGAATCATATAAGATCGGCAATCAGGTCCTCTTATATAGGCTGAGCTTGAAATGTCATACAGTACCAAATTGGAACTTCTAAATACGGGACCCTATTATATACATGGCGTATTGTTATATGGGCTATACAAACTAAGAACAATAAATGGTCATGTGCTCAAGAAGAAAGTATACAGAAACTGGTTATCAAAATACTATCCACATTTAAAGGAAACTTAAGCTTCCATCAATTATGTTAGCTCTAAATTGACCTCAGAATATATAAATAAACGACAAAAAATGCTGGAGTAGAAAAATTCAAATTAATTAATAATAAAAAAAAAAAAAGTCTAATTCAGAAATTCCTCACCATATTCAGAAAACACTTGCAACATTAAAAGCTCAAATGGAGAGAGCTAAAATCGAAGGTACCTACACTATATCAGCCCAAGCTGTTATTATTCATACAACCAGCAATCACAGCCTTTGTCTATTAATAAGGCCAAACGTCCAAGTGAGCAGCAGAAGATACACAAAAAATTAGCTATGTTTATTGAGGACCTCCAACAAAACGAAACCAGTTCTCAATCAATAGAAGCCCCACCTAGAAAAACCTGGGAAAAAAAATTATCTTCTGCTTATACATGCCTTTCTCCAGAACGTAGTAATCATTTTGTTAACTATTGCCTTATTACTCTATAGGAACTTTATTAAATGAGAAGGCTTGGAAGAAAGATGCTAAAAACTTTCTTAAACGATTAGATCCTACAGATACCAAGACATTTTAACTATTGCCCATTGTACCTATTTTCTATACCAAGCCTGTAGCCCTTCCTACCTTTTCACTGCGCGCACATTATTCCCTATGTTCTTCATTGATTATGGAAGGAAGACTATAACGTATTAAAAGCTGAGGCCCAAGCTGTAACTCAGTCAGAAATAAATAAAGTCCTTACACTTGCAGATTTTGCAGGAGCTCAATCCCCAGGGGAGGCATATGTTATGAATTAAAAGCTATATCTGACGAATTGTATATATTTTCTTTTATTTTTTTATTTATTTTATTTTACTTTATTTATTATTATGTATATCATGTCATCACATGCTAATTTCATTTTGATAACAATGCCCAATATAGTATAGGCATTATATTATTTATATAAGATATATTAGTTATTTCAATTAGGGAATTGCATGAGGCTAAGGAGGCGTAGTTCTATCTAATTTTCATGTCGACGCTAAATTTTTAACGCAGATGCTAAATTTTTAGCGTTGATGTCAAAATATCAAAATATTAACATAGACGTCAAGATAATAGCATAGACGTTAAATTTTTTGCATAGACGCTAAAGAAATTAAAAATGTATAAAAAGGCTTAAGTAATAATAAAGAAGGACAAGTTCCACATCCATTTTCATTTAAAACCTAGTAATAAAATAGATACTTATCCCTTTGAAATTCGACTTGAACTTTAATAAACCTTATCGTAACTCAATTCGACGGACTGAATTGACTGGTAACCTCGATTCGGCATATTAAGACTCGAATTTTCTTGTGTAACGGCCCTTCGTAACTCTTTGGAACTTGGTCACGTGATACCATTCGAAAGTTCTTCCGTGCAAGAATAAGATTAATTAGTAACGTGAAAATTGGGAAGCCACGCCACCTTTGGCATCACCAGCATCAGCTGATTTTAAAATATCAGAGTTAGAATAGCGATAGCATATCGCTTTAATATCAATATCCGCTGATATCATTCATTCGATCATTTTAATTCCTTAAGCTATTTTAAGGTCGATTCATTATAATCTAAATTTAACCCGACGATATAACATCATCATCAATCAATCATATCTTTCCCTTTTCTTAATATCATTCCCGAATTATTTTAATTCATAGTTATTTCTTCGTTTCATGTATGCATTTTTAGTTATTATCATATTATAAATCATACTAAGTTCGCTTACGATCCGAAGATTGATTAGTTAAAGGCAAATTCATATTTCTTTTGTTTATATAAACCCTAATTCCCGTACACGGTTGGAGTTCAAATTGGCACTATTTGTCTATAACCGCTCCGCTCTCCCAATACAACCGTTACACTAACAAGATTTGAAATCAAAAAAAGGTTTAAAACTTCAACATAAGTACTAGATAAGAATAAGCGAAATTTGATTAGGATTCTGTATTAGAGATAGTAAATTTTGTGATCATTTGCCATTTTCAAATAACCTGGGTCATTTGGTAAATGAAACTTAAAAAATCAAGTGAGTGGGTAATTTCAAGGGTCAGAATCGATCACTATTATAAAGTTATGGATATTACGTACTTATTTAAACTTGATAACTTTTAGAATCTGGCTAATCTAGAGATGTACCATATGCATTATGCAGACAATGTTCCAAATCTGTT